ATCTCCACGAGGCTCCCAGACGCCCGCCCAAAAGCCCGCGAGCGCCCACCTGCTCCTGGGGCCCCCGCGAAGCCGCGAATCCCCCGACCTTGTTACTCGACTTGGGCGGTGCCCGGCCGATCGGGCGCCGCGTGCACCGGCCCGCCCTGCCAGCGCCGTCGGTTCCAGCCCCGAGCGCCCAACTCCTCCACTGCTTCCCCCGCTCCACGGAGGACTTGCGTTCAAGGGCGCTGGCGAAGTCGTCTGCCTCTTCGCCCCAACGCTGGAACTGCTCGAACGCGGCGACAAACATAATGTTTCAAAGCGGCGCCCTTAACTGCCAGACCTCGTCTCGGCGCAACTGCCTGGGCCCCATCTCGACCGCGTCCAGCAGCCCCATCGACTCACCTTCGCCGCAATGGATACCCTGAATTCTTATATTTCCGAGCTCCGAGAAGAGTTTCGAGACCCGACGCCACCAGCGACATTCAGGACTGCCAGTGGGATGCCGACCGCCAGAGGTCCCGAGAGCGGGAACCTCCATGATCCTGGGGCCCTCGGCCCTGCCGGAATATTTCGGGTTATCCAAATGCCCGCGGTGAAGACTCAACTCCCTCTCCAGCGCCTCGACGACCCGACGATGACAAGCACTCAGCGTCTCCCGGCGCGACGCCGAACGCGCTGACTCGACGAGCTCATCATCGCCAGGCGGCTGTGTGATGGGTTATATGGGAACGCTCTCGGCCGACGGAGTGCCTGAACTGGCGCGTCGATGGGGCGCGCCCGTGAACTTCGTGACCACTGGCCAGCGCGGCTTGGCGGAGGTTCTCCTGCCGACGAAGCAAGAGCGCACGTCCGAGGCCAAACCTGCAGACATCACAAAAAAAGTCGATCGTTTTCCAAAGCTTCGCCGTTGACTTACAAGTATAAGTGCTTGGATTGCCGATATAACCCCCGAGACGCCCTGCCCACCCCATGGCCTGATGCTTCTCCGGCGAAACATTCCACTCTCCTCCCAAGACGACAGGCAAGCCCCAGGAGCGAAGCTGACCCCCGACACGGCTAAGAATCTGACTACCCATTGGCCACAATGGTTCCTGACCCGGCAAGTAGATCGATCCCAGGATGGAGCCGCGAGGCACCTAGGCGTTGATCCACCTGAGCATCTGGCGGCGTGGGTGCGGCAGGCTCCTGACACAGGTGGGTGGCGTCCCCGTCCATATATGGCTCCTGCGCGACACCCCTGCGCCGTTCGAGAGCCCTCCAGCCTCCGTGACAACTGACGGGTGGATGCATGTGTGCCAACCAAAACTTCTCACGCTGGGTTTCGGTCGCAAGTTGCCCTGGTGGATGAACAGCAGTTCCTGAAGCACGACGATGTGGCTCATGTCTCCCCCTTGAGGTACTGCCTCGCTGACGATCAAGCTGTCGTGTTACATGTTTCGAAACAGAACAACTCCCTGGCTAGACCTAGCTCTCTTGCTTTGCTGCCGCGGCTGGGCTGCGCGCTTCCAGCGAATTTGCCCGGGCCTGTGAGAGGCCAGGCGCTCGGGGGGGCAAGAGGAGAGCTGGGAGGCAGGCGCGGGGCTTCTGACGACGGCGGGGGCGGGGGCCAGGCCGAGGCCAGAAAAAAAACGGCCGACCGGGGGGGGCCAGAGGCCGAACCCCCCCGACGGCCCAGCTGGGTCTGCTACACCCGCCGCTTGTCTGCCCCTTTGCTTGCACCCCCAGCTGCAGCGACTGGACTGCCAGCTCCACCAGCGGCCCCATGCCGCCCTGCTCCCTTGGCGCCCAAGGCTTCTTGGTGAGCCTGTCCACGTGCTCGCGGTGCTGGCGCTGCAGCCGCTCCGCCGTCTCCTTGGCCGTCCCGAAGAGCTGCTTCACCATGTCCTGCAAGCCTTTTGAGGAACTGGTCCTGGCGTGCCGCCACCTCCTTCTTGTCCGTCTCGCTGAGCTCGTAGATGTCGGTGAGGCCGAACATGTCCTCGCACCCTGCCAGGTCGAGGCATGGGAAATCGCCTTGTAACAACTGGTCCAGGGAGACTTTGGCATGCTCGCACTGCCCCATCCTTCCCCTTGTTCGCCTGCGTGTACATCTGGCTGAGGCGGTCGCGGTAGTCACTGCCCGCCTTCTGCAGCCTCTCGGCGAGCGCCGCAAACACGGCCTCCTGGCCCTCCACGCCGAGCCACAACTCCTTGAGCTTCTCGACGGTCGTGTGCAGTACCTTCTCGGAGTGCTCGGCCTTCTGATGTGCACGATGGGCCCGCAATTGGAGCGGAAGCCCCTTGGGGGCCACGGCCTTGCGCCGCTTGAACTCGAGGGGCCGTTGGCACTTGCAGACCAGGCTTGGGTCTCCCGCCTTAGGGCCGAGGGCCACGAACTGCTTGACCTCCTTGATGCTGAAGTTCTTGTCCCCCTTGCCGAGGCCTGGTGGCGGCCGCAGACCCACTGCCATGGGAGGAACGTCCTCGAACGCCTGCAGCTCGGGCTCCTCCAGCGTCCTCTGGGCATCCTAGGCAACGACGCAGTGAATGCAGCGCCATTTACAGGATTATTCTTGCATTTGCAGTGGTGGCATTGCCTCTTGCGCGTGGAACCACCGGACCTGTTTTTTCGCTGTCCATCATCCTTCCATGGCACACGCCTCTGGTGCTGACCCGCTGCCTCATCACCGCCCCACGCCATGAAGGCCGTGGAGGCAGGGCGCCGAAATAAGGATGGCACAAAACTGATACTGCGTAGGCAGAAAAAAAACCCTCACACTTGACAGAACTACTCGAGGAGGGTCGTGCGGGTCCCTCGACCACCTCGAGCCCCAACCCCAGGGAAGGCGAAGGCCCTGGGCAATGGCCTTGAGCCAAATGGCTACGGACCTCCTCCTCCTCCTCCTCCTCCTCCTTTCTCCTCCTCCTCCTCCTCCTCCTCCTCCTCCTCCTCTGCCTCCTCCTCCTCCTCCTCCTCCTCCTCCTCCTCCTCCTCCTCCTCCTCCTCCGCTGGAAGACTTGCCCACCCGTAGAGGTTGGGATAGGTGCCCGCTCCTCCGCGCTTCGGCGGGGCCTGCCCCCCAACTGGGGCAGAGGGCTGGCGGGGCTGAGATGCCGTGGCCCAATGCTGGCGGCGAGCGCGGGGGGGCAAGTTCGGGGATGGACAGACCCCCTCTTTAGTAAAGCGTGGTTTAGTGAAAACGACCTGAGGCCCAAACCTGGCGGGCGCAGGCCTGGAAAATAACGGCCACGGCGCCATCTCGAGAACCGAAAACGGACAATTCACTAATCGACGTGTCACTGTTGGGGGTTCTGTCCACCCCCGACAAGTGAGAAGGGGCGGGCCTTCTCAGAAGGCTCAGAAGTCCCCCCGCCGTCTGAAACGCTTTCTAAACCCTCCCCGAAGACGCAGAAAAATTCTCAGAAGGCGCCAGGGCTTCTGAGAAGTCCCGCAACCTCCTGAGAAGGCCCTCCCCTGCGCACTTCCCCCCCTCGCCCGCCGCCGATCCTCTGACAGGTAGAATGGGTTCAGACCGCGCAGGGCGGCCGCGCGTGGCTCAAGGAGGCCTCGAGCACACGTCCAGAGGGACCAGGGAGCTCCGAAAGAGGGCCCCCGCTTCCACAACAAAGCGGCCTCCCGAACATGGTGAGCTTTTTTATTCGGCGTTTCGACATTGGGCGGAAGGGAGGGGGAGGGGGGGGGTCTGGCTCCGGACCTCTGCTTAGTACGACTGCTTGCAGCACTGGGTCCTATGAGGAGAGACCCCACCTGATCGAAACGGGCGCCCTAAGCAGCCAAGATCGACTCCATGGGGGAGGGGGGGAGGGGGGGGGTGGGGGGCCCGCGCCGATCGGCGAAACAATGTTTAAAATTATCCCAGTGCGACCCTACCTAGGAGTTGGAGCCCCTAGGAAAGCAGCATTAGTAGTAACGGTAAAGCTAAGCTAAAGCTAAGCTAAAGCTAAGCTACAGCTAAGCTAAAGCTAAGCTAAAGCTAAGCTACATCTAAGCTAAAGCTAAGCTAACGCTGAGCTAACGCTAAGCTAACGCTAAGCTAAAGCTAAGCTAAAGCTAAGCTAAAGCTAAGCTAAAGCTAAGCTAAAGCTAAGCTAAAGCTAAGCTAAAGCTAAGCCGAAGCTAAACCTACGCTAAAGTTAAGCTAAAGCTAAGCTAAAGCTACGCTAAAGCTACGCTAAAGCTAAGCTAAAGCTAAGCTAAAGCTAAGCTAAAGCTAAGCTAAAGCTAAGCTAAAGCTAAAGCTAATGCTAAAGCTAGGGGACGCAACTGGGGGAACCGCGGGGCGGATCCTGGGGGAACCGCCCGGGGCGGGGTGCACTGCCCGGCCTCTTAAGCACAGAGAATAAGAACCCTTCTAGGCAGAGCCTAGGTAGGGAATCAAGTCGGGTCTGTCCCCCTACAGGGGCATTTTGGCAGAAAAATTCAACATACCCCAAAAATACACCCAGAGTGCTAAAACATAGTTCAAAAATGGTCCCTGGACCATTTTTTCACTATTTTTGAATATTCCCCCTGTAGAGGGACAGGCCTGACTTAAGATTGAAAACGATCACATGAAGCTGCTGTGCTTCGTTCGACCGTGCGGCTCTCAGTCGCAGTTTCGCGTTGGGGCGCGCCTCAGAAGGACGCACGGCGGAGACCCCGGGACGGGTCGACAGGGCATCGCTGGTGCCTCAAGGTGGCCTAAGAGAGCCTCCAGATAGGCCCAACACGACCCAACAGGGACCCAAGACGCCCCAGTATGGGTGCAAAGGCAGCCCCAGAATGCCCCCATAAAGACCTCCAGGCGCGAGAGACCCACAAGGGCCCAAGACGATCCCTGCGGGACTCAAGAGCTCCAGAGCGGCTGGCAAGGCGGCCCCAAACGGGCCTCTTGTGGGGCACGGCGTATGCGTCCAGCTCGGTCGCACGGACCCACATGGCCCCACGACGGCGAACACGTCCCCGAAGTGCGCGGCTAACCTAGGCAGCAAGGCCCTCCCAAGGGGCCGGCGGAGGCGGCAGAAGTCAATGAATCAACAGTCTGCGTCTTGGTACCATGTAGCAGCAGCGCCTCGTTCGCCGCCTGCTGCAAGGCAGCGTAGGGGATGTGCCTTCGGAAGTCTAGCACGCCAGGGGCCAGCTGGCCCACGCTCGGACAGTCGTGCCTGTTCTGCAGTGCCTTGGATACCTGCTCGCGCCTGAGTCTGTATTGGTTCCATCTGTCGACATTGACGATTTCCTCGACTTCGGTGACGACGCAATTTTTCATGCGAGCACATGGCCCAAAGTGACAAGGAGGGACTCGTTGTACGAGCATGTCCTGGACGGTCTTCACAAGATCTGGCCGTGGCTGCCTGATGGCAGTGGCTCCTGCATCCACTTGCTTCCATGCCTCGGCGACTTCCAGGTAGGACCACATTTCCGCCTCCTTCGACGATACCACCTGCCGAGCCTGAGTGGTTCTCCGATGGGCTTCTGAAAGTCGAAGCTCGAGAGACTGGGCTTTCTTTTCCCAGCTGCCGATCTCGCATGCACAGGCCTGCTGTGCACTAGACCGAGCCTTTTGCTCAACCTCTCGCACCATCCGGGCCATCCGCTCGCGCTCTTCCTCGTGGGCCGACTGGAGACGCTGCTCGAGAAACACCACGCGCCGCCGCAGGCGCTCGAGCTCGCCATCTCCGGCGTTCTTGTTCGGATCGCTGATGTCGGGCCCCGCGCATGGCGTGGGAGAAAGTCTGCGGCGCAGGGACCGTACCCGCCCAGTGATAATGTTCGTCTGGGTCATTGCGTTGAAGTCTATCTCGTGCTCTGCCGACCCGATGGACACCTGCAGAATGCTGCCACCATCTTGAGGGTTGGGCGCGGTCTTCCAGCTGGCCCACACCGCCTCCACCAGCGCCGAATCGGTCACGTCGAAGGGCCTCCATGACTCAGGTCCGTCGGAAAACTCCCAGATATGCGATCTCGCCTCGTCCAGGAAGGTCGAGGCCGAAGATGTCGGCTGCGCCGAGGTCGCGCCAGCTCCCCATGCGTTCGTGCTCTCGTCCTCTCCGCTGGCCTTGCCGCCGCCCTTGCCTCCGCCGTTGCCGCCCTTCTTGCCCTTGCTGGCGGCGCGAGGGGGGTGGGCTTCGAAAGCGGCGGCGGAGCTTCCAAGAAGGCAGGGGGGGGAGGCGGTCCTAGAAAGCCCCTCGGAGGCTTTCAGGAAGCCTTCTCAAGCAGCCTGCGGGCCTTTTGTGAGCCTCCTGAGGAAGGCCGCTGCCTTCTAAGACGCCCCTCCGCCGCCTTAGAAGGCTCCCTGGCTCAACCCCCTTTTGGGCGCCGCTAACCATGAAGGGGTAATAAGGGACTGCCGAGCCAGCGACGCTGCCGTGGGCCTTCTGAGAAGGCCGCTGACCGTCGCCTCTAAGGACCTCTCCCATGGTGCGTCCTGACCAGGATGTCGAGCCTGGTCCAGCCGTAGTGACGAGTGCCTCCCAGGAGGCCCCAAAAAGCCCAAACAAGGGAAGGGTAGCGGTATCGGTGCCTCTTCCTCCTCGGTGCGCTTCGGTTTTCGGATCATAAGTCGGCTCTCCAGCGGCCGTTCGGGACGATCCAGGCACCCCAGGAACGCTCTCGGCGAGGCGCAGCCGGTGGGAAGCATCCCAAGCCGCCGACAATCGACGAAAACCTCACACCTCTCAGCTGGGCTCCGAAACTTTAGACTTGCGCAGCGGAGGGGGGCATCGCAGCCAGACAGAGGCGACCACGTGCCGCGATGTGCGGCCTGCTCCAGCGAAGTCCTTCGCACAGCGGCTGGCGAGAGCAGGCCGAGGCGGCTGCCCGCTCGCTCCCCAGGCCTCCGTCGAGCCGCGCCTCGAGCGTCTGGGCATCTCTCATGCCCCTGCTCTCTGCCGGGGGTCTTGGCTTACGCGAGGCCCGGCGTAGGCATGCATCTACTTTGTGTGAGCGGTCTGGCTCGCCTGGCACGCTGGCCGCTGCACCCCATGCAGCAGCGAACATCTACAGTCGGGGCGTTGACCGAAGGAACCCTAAATGAGGAACGAGGCCCCTTTTTTCCATAAGTTAACCTTCGATTTCCCATCGAAAACATGAGGAAAGCCTGAGGCAAGCTGTGAAACACTGAAGGAACGCGGAGCCCCTCCCCAACCAAAAGGGTTCCTTCTCCAGGGCCCCGGCTGTAGGTGTTTTGCGCTCCCTCTGACCTTCGCCAGGCTCCGCTGCCACGGCACGGTGCTGCCCCCGATGCGGACGAGCTCTGGCGGCCGTCCGGAGGCCACATGCGAACCCTACCCCCCCCCCCTTAGAACTCGTGGGGTGGTGGGGTAGCTGGATGCTCATTCTGGGGACCTTCCTGGAGACACTCGCTCCACTCGTGCGTCGAAGCTGCGTCGAACGTCCGCCGATTCGAGTCGACCTTGAGTCGAACCTGAGTTGAACCCGAATCGAACTTGAGTCGAACTTGAATCGAACGGGGGTCGAACAGATCCGTTAGGTGGGCCCCAGGAAGGTCCATCAAATCGGGGACGTCCAAGAGGGGGGCGTCAAAGAGAGGGGGGGGGGGGGGGCAAATCATGGCCCGAGGCATGTGCGCGGCCCAGGGGGGGGGGGGGGCAGGGAACGCATTGAAATGAGAAGAGGCGCCATGAAATCTGGGGAGATATCATGGCCCCCGCCATGAGATCCACACCCCCACAGTCATCACCCCTCTTTTCACCGCCCCCGACAAAACGAGCATCGAAGGGTAGGGTTAAGTCGGGCCTGTCCCCCTACAGGCCGATTTTGGACGAAATTATCAAAAATAGTCAAACAGTGCTCAATATTATCACAAAAATCCCAAAGCCATCGTCCCCAGACTTTTTTAAACTACGTTTTAAACTATTATTCAATTATTTTAAAATTTTAGAACACGCCCGACTTAACCGATACCACTGGCGAGGCACCGCCTCCCGCGCGGGCCCAGAGCCGCGCCGGCCCTTACAGGGTGCGGGCACAGGGGGAGTCTGCCCTTGCCCCAGGGTGTCGAGGGGGGGAGGAGGAGGAGGGAAGGAGGAGGGGGAGGAGGGGGGGGAGGGTGAGGAGGAGGAGGAGGAGGAGGAGGAGGAGGAGGAGGAGGAGGAGGAGGAGGAGGGGTAAGGTTCGCGTGTGGCCTCCTGGCTGGCCCCCGCCGGGCCCCCCGCACGTCCACGGGCCGTCCAGGCTGCCGCCCTCGCCCGCGCTGGCCGGCGCGACGACCGCCCCCTCTGGCCAGGCCGCTGCGGCAGGTGCGGATGCGGAGCAGGGGCCGACCGTGCTGGCATTCCTCAAGTAGGCGGCGAGCCAAGGGGGGAAGTGAGAAGGGGCGTGCCTTCTCAGAAGGCTCGGAAGTCCCGTGGCCTTCTGAGAAGTTTTCCATGCCTTCCCCGAAGACAGAAGCAACCTCTCAGAGGGCCGGAGGCCTTCTGAGAGGTCCCGCCGCCTTCTGAGGAGGCCTTCTCCTTCTCATTCCCCTCCCTCGCTCGCCGCCGACTAAGAGGCCCACCACAAAATCTTCGCAGAGCTCAAGAAACAGATTCGAAGAACAAAGTTATGGCTATCAGAAGGTAAGCCCGATGCTGTGAACACCAACGAACAAAAGCCCGCGCAGGGACCGACCGTCCTGGGACTCCTAGTCGGGGACACGTAAGACTCGGGTACGGGGGACTCGGGTTGGCCTGACGGGGGCCATCATAAACATGACGGAACCCCAATCTGAAATCTGGCGCGGGCTCCCGCTGCAGACATCCCACGAAAATGGAACAGTCAAAATCCAGGACGCGCTCGTCAACAAAAACATCGGCTAACCCGAGTTCCGGCTTACTCGAGTCTTACGCTACCCCGATATAGGCCTACCACGATATCTTCCCAGAGCTCAAAAAATCGAATAACAAAAAGATGGTTCGTAGAACATAAACCCGAGGTGTGGGAACAGGGCAGTCTCGGCCAGAAACGTCCTAAGAACTTCTCGCGCAAACCACGGAAGGCTCTTAGAGCCTTCTTTGGTGAGCCAGTATACGGAAACAAACAATGACATAAACATGCAAAATCTGAGGTCAGCGCGGATTTGTCGGATCCGCGCTGGGCCCCCGCTCCCTGGCGCGCGGAGCTCGCCAGGGGCGGCGCCAATGGCGACGCCAAGGGGCCCCAGCGCGGATCCGAGAAATCCGCGCGGACCTCCGAGTTTTAATGTTTATGTCATTTTTCGTTCCCCTGTTAGAACCTTCCTTGGTGGGCCTGTAGGCAAGCCAGGACGCCTCGCCACTGCTTGATGACGCCAGCCGCCACCGTGCCCCTGGCACGTCTCGGGCGCGCCTGGGTGCCCCCTCAGGGAGTCGTCTGGCAGGGCTTCTCTGCAGAGCGGAGGCCCATTGCCCAAAAAACGCCCTGCTTGCCTCTCCAGGGTGCCCCGGGTTCCTCTTGGGCCCCGGCGGCTTGGCCACGGCAGGCGTGGCGCTCCCACACCAGAAAATCGATGGACGTCGTGGGGTCTGAAGGTTGGGTTTCTCGTGGAAGGTAGGAGGAGGAGTCGCGACCCCATGAAGCGACGCGCGGAGTGCAGGCAAAAGAGAGGCGGCGGCGGCGGCGGGAAAAGCAGAGAGGGGCGCAATCGATCACAAAAACACTCGGGTCCCCAGGGCGCTCAGAGCCCAGCCGAGGCTTCACGGCCACGCCAAGCGAATCCGAGAGGTGCCCAGGGCCGAACGCCAGACACCCGAGACGGGGCCAACGAGGCCCCCGTCCCAAGAGAGCCCCAAGGGGGCTCACGAAATTGAGAGTAGGCCAAGCCACTGGACCGCATCGTCCGTGACCAGCAGCCTGCGTGGTGGCACGATGGCCTGGGACACCCTCCCCTTCGGGTGGATGCCCTTCATAAAATTGTCCCTCCGCCACTTACGCTGGGGATTGCCCGTCAGGGCGGCCTCGGGGTCGCACTCCCAGAACAGCTGGGTCCTCGCCGTCCTGGCCGAGAAGGCCCCGCATTGGCTGCACCCCACATGATCCCCAGACAAGTACAGGGTGTGCCCCCTCGCGCTCTCGGGGGGGACCTCTCCCGAGCGCGGGAGAGGGGCCACAGGGACCGTCGCCGCCGCTCGGGAGGGGGGCGCCCCTTTCAACGCGCGCTTGACACCCCGAGAGCTAGCCGCCTGCGCCGCCACCTGAACAACTTCCTGAGGCCTCTCGAGGGCATCAGGTCCCTCGGCAAACGAAACCCTCGAAAAACGACCAGAGGGCCCAGGCGGCGGCGGCGCAGCAGCGGGGGAGGCGGAGGAGGAGGAGGGGAGGCCCGACAGAGGTCGAGGGCGAGGAGGGGAGGGGACACGGGGGGATGGGGTGCAAGACCACAAACCACGTGCCATTCCCTCGGACCCAGGACGGCTTTCCTCCTCAGCTGCAGTGGGGGCTCCGAAGGACGAGGAGGGGTCAGTCGAAACGAGGGAAGGGGTCCCACGAGGCCGAACTCCCCTGAGACAATCCCCATCGCCGTCGTGAGACCGCCGCCTACGAAGTCCCCGCGAGTCGCCATCATCCTGGGGGACCCGCTCCAGGCTCGACGGGGGGCCTTCCTCGGCCGCCGTCCGACGCCGTTTCGAACTGGAGACCTCGGAGGTCCCCAGGACTCCCAGCTGCCGCTTCCCGAGGGAGGCGTCGGCTGGGGGGGCCCGAAAAGCCCTCACAGGGCAAACCTCACGTTGAAGCCTCCTGAGGCCTCTGGCGTTTCGCGCGAACCGAGGGCAGTGAGCACATCGCCACCCCACGGTGGCCAGGATGGGAGAGTGAGACTTTCCACTCTGCACAGGGGCCGCGCCACGCGGCTGGCTGCCCGCCTCAGCCGCCTGGGGAGCGCGTCCGTCTCCACGACGGCTGGTGCAGCGCTGCCGCCGCGCCTGGACCTCCACGCGGTCCGCCAGCAGGATGGCGGAGGACTGGGCGGCGCCGATCCAGCCCGCGGTCTGCCTGACCGCCTTGAGGAGGCGCCCGTGCTCCTCGTAGGCCACCAACGGGACGCCGTGCAGCCGTGTCCCCTTCTTGGCCGCCACGTCCGCGAAGTCGTTGCCGATCTTGTCGAGACTGTCGGCGCCTGCCTCGGCCAGGGTCTGATGGGCTGCTACCCATGTGACCTTGAGCGAGTCTGAGATGCCTCCATGATCATTGATCGCCCTCCAGATGAGCCGCCAGAGGTCCGCGTTGTCACGGCGGACGTGGCAGCAATGAGCTTCTCCGTACTTCAGCGATTCGACCAAGCCAAGGCAGTCCGTCTTGATGTGTAGAGGAAGCCGTCCGTGTCGGAGAACCTGCAGCGCGGCGTACAGCTCCCCGCGTTGGGCCGTCTGCATGGGCCCTGGCAAGGGCCCGAACGCCATGCCCTTGAGACGGCGCCCCGTAAGGATGGCCAGTCCCCAACCAGCACGGTTGGCCTCAGGCCAGTAGAGCGGGCACTGCGCAGAGCCGTCCGTGTAAGCAGTGCCCGTGATGTCCATAGCCTGACCTCCCATGCAATACCACCACCGTTGTGAATCCACAGGCGGCGGGATGTCGGGCAGCATCGCCCTGGGCATGAGAGCACGAGTGAAAAAGGGATCCGCCACATGCGACCTCTTTGCCATCTCAACCAGCTCCTCATCCACCGCACGCGATCGGGCCTCTGAGTGATAGGAGCACTTCCAGAATCGGTGATGCAGGTCCCCAGTCTGTCCACAGCGCTGACAGGATGATGTGTCCGAGTATCCCATCTTGTGAAGCCGCAGCTGTGACCATTGGGCACCGATGACCGTAGATCGCAACGCACCTCGAGCCTGTGGACTTAGATTCCATGTGGTGGCGTCCTCGGCGACGTTCATCATGGCCGCGACGGGTTCGATCCAGTATCCGCGAGGGTCTCGAGGAGGCTCAGGATGTTCAGGAGAGTGAGACGTACGCTTAGCCCAATCTTCCCATTGCACAGACCTGAAACTGCGCCTTGCCACAGCGCGTATCCAGTTGGGGGCCATGTCTTCCAGATCCAGTGTCATCCCGTTGCCTGTGTGCCATCTGCAGTATGTCAGCGGTCTCCAACCCAGCCGTCGAATCGCCAACACCACTGCACTGGCTGGACCCGCAACCATAGACCAGGTCGAGGTGGTGGACTGAAGGCGCAAGGACTGCAAGCGCCACGCACGTTGTAGGACTGCCCGTGGTACTCGTGCGTCGAAGACCAGCTGTGCCCACGTGTAGATGGGCTCGACGACGGCCATGACCTCGGGCTGCAGGTGGGGCGCCGCCTCCAGGAATGAAGCTAGCATCGTCGAGGAACCAGTTGGTGTCTTGCTCCATCCCGTCCTGACCAGTCCAGTCATTGTGCGTACCGTAGCAGGAGGTGCCCCTACCACCTGGAGCCCGTAGGTCATGCCAGGGGCAATGCACGGACGAGCGATGCGTTTCGTCACCTGGGCCAATCCTCGTAGGCGGCGGAAGCGCGGGATCCTGGCCTTCATCTGCCTGATGCGCTTGTGGACCTCAGTGTACCTGAGACGCGCCCCCGCACGACACTCCAGGCCCAGGATACTCAGCTTAGTGACCGCGCAGAAACCATGCTGGGCCAACCGCGATGCGACCGACCTGGCGATGGTCTCCGTCGAGCCGAGGATCTTGGCCTTGTCCTGAGCGATTGGCAGCTGCAAGGCGGTGAGGACGACGACGAGGCGGGAGATGGCCGCGACCGAGTGGGCCACGATCTCATCCCGCGGCATCGTGATCTGCAGCGTAATATCGTCGGCGTAGATGTCGAGGGTGTGCGGGATGTCCGCGAGAGAGGCCTGGTAGACCTCAAAGGGAAGCATCATCACCAGCTGGAGCAGGAACATTGCGACCGAGCAGCCTGGGAGAACGCCTTGCATGGCGCGAGCAGCGAACGAGTAGGTGGAGCCCCACCTGATGCGCCTCGGGGCTGCATACATGGAAAGAACTGCCCGTAGGAGTCCTCGTGGGAACCCAAATCGCTGGGCCGCCTCGACCACCTTGTTCCAGTCGACTCTGTCGAAGCACTTGCTGATGTCAACCATGGCCGTGATGATCTCGTCCCCTTGGGTGTGGTCCGCGGCCTCGGCATAGACCATGGTCCTGGCCCCGACGTCGATGGTGGAGCGCCCCGCTCCCAGTGCGAAGAAAGGCCTCGTGTTGTCAGCTGCCCATCGTCGTACGTGGCCTATGCGGATCTTGGTGTAGACCCTGTAGAGGGACGAGAGAAGCATGATAGGGCGAAAGCCGCCTGATGTCTTGGCCAGCAACATAACGTGAATCATCAGAGTCGGGGTGGGCCACCTGCCCCAACGCTCTGCCGCCCAAAGGAGGTACACCATCATAGCGAGGGCCTCGTCGCTGAGGAGCGAATAGGCCCGCGGTGGCATCATGTCTGCTGCCAGGCCTGTGCGCCAGCTGAAGGACATGGATGCCCTGCGGATCTCCGCCACAGTCGGAACTGGCAAGGTCTCCGTCGGCAGCTGGCTGATGGCCTTCGACAGCGTGTCAGTGGCGTCCATTAGGTGGGCCACGGCCTGTGAGTCGAACTGCTCGCTGTCGGGTAGGTGAGTAGTGATGGCAGCGTCGCCAAAGACTAGCTCCTTGGTCGCTGGCGAGGTGACGGGCGTAGCGTTCCAGATCTCACCCCAGTACCGCATCTGGCTGTCAGCGACTGCCTGCGGCAACGAAGTGCGGATGCCGAACGCGTCCACCTCGTTGTGGGCCCATCCCTTCAGCTTGGTCATGCCGAAGAGCGGCGCCGCGCCAGTTACCAGGGAGTCCTGGGCCCACCTGTGGAAGCTGCGGACGCGCGCGTTGCCTGCGTCGCGCTCCATGCAGTGCACGGTCTCGGCCACCACCATCTGGAAGCCGCGAAGGACGACGATGCACCAGGACTTGGAGAGCTGTACGGCGTAGTGCACCACGGGCCATGTCCAGTCGAAGAGCACATGTCCAGCAGGTGTGTGAAGGTCCTGTCGATGACCTGGACGCGTGACTCTGACAAGGCGTTGCCACCGCCTGTCGTCACGGACACCCTTCTCCAAGACGAGGATGAGATCCGCGATGGCGACCTCTAGGTTCCGCAAGTAGCGTGCCTCAGCTCCCGCGGCGGGCTGGCCCTGCCTCGGAGGGCCACCGATGGGTCGCCACACGTAGCGCGGAGGGGCGCCTCGCCCCGCATGGGCCTCAGGCTCCTGGATGTTGTAGATGTGCGAGAGGTCCGACTCGACGAAGCTCATGAAGTTGGAGTAGAGGTCGTCCAGGCGCTGCCTTGCACAGTCTGCATCAGTAGGGATCCCGCGTGCCGCGTCATGGCGGACGGCATCGAGGTACGGCTGAGGCGGCGGCGCACCCACCAGGGGGGAAGCGCCTGAGTACCGCGGCGCCTGACGTGGGAAAGCTCGCGGAGCCACCAGATGAAGCTGACACTGAGCACGCGGTTTGGCCTCCAGCTCGAAGCGCACAGGGTAGTGTGGGCGGGCTGTCCATCGGTCCAGCACGCGCGGCTTGCCACAAGCCCGAACAAAGCCAGGGGTGGTGAGCCAGTAGTCGATGACTCTGTAGGTGCCCGAGACCGCCGACCTACATGTACCTTGACTGGGGGCCACGATCGCCGCCGGCATGACCTGAAGGAAGCCGAGCGCTTCCAAGTCCTGAGGCGTGGTGTTCCAGTCCCCTGCGAAGACGAAGGGAGCCGCGTAGTAGCGCATAGCCTCCGAGATGCGCATGAGCTTCTGATAATTGGCCGAGAGGTAGTCGGCACCAGCAACTGACTCCATGTAGGCCGAGCCCACGATGAAGCCGCCTCGGAGGCCCGCACGTATGTGAACCGCCACGGCCCACGAGCGCAAGATCTCAAAACTGCCAGGGGACGTGCTCCCCAACCCACTCAGCAGAGTGGCCTGCACGTGCGACCTGACGAATAGCCCCACTCCTGCACTCGGGAGCCCGCTCTCCAAGCGACGGCACGGGCTGATGAATGGCTGCCAACCGTGTCGATGAGCCCATGTACGCGCTCTGTCCAGTGCCTCTCGATCCAGTCGAAGTTCCTGAGCCGCAACGACGAGCGCGTCCTGGGCGCCCTCTAGGAGGAAGGACTGGAGAGAGGCCCAGCAGGAGCCGTTGAACGTGACGATGCCACATGTGCGACGAGTCGCGCAGCGCCTGCCACGCCTATGCAGTCCCCGCATACTCCCACTGGGCGTCTGGGCTCCCTTCGACGACGGCCTGCTGAGGCGGTGGTGCTGGTGGTGCTGCTGGTGGTGTGGAGGGGGCGCTGGCGCCAGCGGGTTGCCCACCCGCGGCGCGAAAGGCGGCAGCTCGGTCTCCGCCTCCTCCTGGTAGCGCCCCGCCCAGCGCGCGAACGTGGTTGACCAGCTGGTCCAAGATGGCCCCGCCAACAGCGTTGCGGTCCTGGCCCTGAAGGATCGAGGTGTGGGCCCCCTGGAGCAGCCGCTGCAACGCGGCCACCGAAGTGGCGGCATCCGCTGGGAGGGGCGCAGCGGCATTGGCCAGCCTGGCCTGCGCGACCTCCGACTCGGACTCCACCAGCTGCTGCTTGATGCCGTCGAGCTTGGCCTGAGCGGCCGCCAGGTCGGCGGTGAGGTTGTCCACGTCCTCCTGAGCCTTGACCCTCTCTGCCTCCCGAGTGGCTTGCCTGTCGAGGGCCGACCTAAGCACATCCTCGGGGGGCATGGTGGCCCGCTCTGCAGCTTCGGCAGCGGCGAGCTCGTGGCGGGCTGCAGCGACCAGCGGGTGCTTGTCGTCGTGGATGCCGCGCAAGGCCTTGAGCGCACGCCTGCACTTGGCCACTGCCTGGGCCTCGGCTGAGCTGGCCGCGCTGGTGCTGCCGCCGCCATCCATGGGGTCGTCCCCGCGGCCAGGCTCGCGAGCCGAAGAAGGCCGACCAGAACGAGGGCGGGGCTTGGACCGCGGCCGCTGCTTGGCGCGAGCCCCTGCCTCAGCCGTCGGGCGCCCCGCTCGGTCGCGGCCGCATGCCCAGCACGTCTCACGGGTTCCGTAGTTGGACGTGTAGCCGCAGGCCCTGGTCGCCACACACGCCCAAGTGGAGCCCTGCCCGCCACGCTTCCACGGGGGCTCCGTGGGGGGGGGGGGCTGGCGGGGCTCCGCCATGCACTCGCCGTGGTGTCCAGCCAGGATGGAGCGAGCCTGCTCGACCCGCAGGACCGCCCTCGCAGATGCACGGCGCCGCCGCTGGCGCCTGTGCCAGGCCGGGGACGGGCTGCGGGCACCGCGAGCCGTCCTGGGCGGGCACCCGTCCTGCGCCACAGGCGCCTGATGCACCAGCGCCCGCGCCGCCGCGGGCCGCTGGCGACTGGGGCCGTATGGCTGCTCCCCCGCGCGGCGCGCCCCCGCGCGCGTGGGAGGGAGCCCCAAACGGCGCCTGAAGGTAGGAGGAGGAGGCGGAGGAGGAGGAGGAGGAGGAAGAGGAGGAGGAAGAGGAGGAGGAGGAAGTTTCTTGTGGTCCCCCACTGCGGCTTCCGTTGGTGGCTGTTGGCACGCCCCAGAAACCGCCAGCCGGGACCGGCCCTGTGTTCGAAGAAGGCAGACATTCTGCGCCGCCTTCAGACAGCGACCTCCTTCCCCACCTTCTCTTCGTATTCTCCCCCCCTCCTCCTGCTCCTCCTCCGCCTCCTCCTCCTCCTGCTGCTCCTCCTCCTCCTTCCCCTGGCTTTTTTATCCCTTGTCACCTTCCCCCTGCTAATTATTGTTCCCCTGCAGTTATTCAATATGAGCGCTATTTCCCGTTCTCACCTGATGCACTCTAGAAGATTACCTGCACCCCTCAGCGCATTGCACACAGATTTGGCGCGAATCCATTTCTCATATTTGCATGTTCAATCGGAACGTCTTCGGCTCGTCCAGCATGTTGTCCCGCTGTAACGCTGGCCTCATGTTCGAACTTCCGCTCGGTTCGAATCATCCCGCGTGCTGCGTGCTTACGCAGAGAATTGGGGGGGTGTTCGCATCTGTTGCTCAATCCGAACTTGTTCGGTTCTTCCGACACACTGCTCCCGCTGCAACGTTGGCCTCATTTTCAAGCTCCAACCACCGTCCGCGAGGACGACAGCTGGGCCGTCCTCAGGTTGGTTCTTGAGTCGGGGATGAAAAAACGGCGTGAACAGAAAATTTCGGCGGTCCTCCGTGGATTTCCTGGATCTGCGCTGGGACTCCCTAGCGACGCGTCCCCCTCTCCACAATCCTCCTCCAGCGGCCGCGGGTGATCAAACGAACGCAGGAGGACGGATCGAAAATCAATTTCCGCAAGGCGGCAACAAAAGCGCCAGAGGGTCAGACGATTAAAAAACAATTTCCGGCGGCTGAATTCTACTATAGTCTGCCTCACTCATTCATTTTGGGCCCCCAGGACGGGGGGGTGGGGTGGGGCATGTTTTAATCGCTGGCCCCCATTAAGAGGCGCCCGAAGAAGTCTCTAGCGAGGCCTCCAAAAGCAACAACACATTGTAAGGCAACATCGTTCTGGATGTTTCCAGCTTCCGATATTTTGCGGCTTGACATGCCATCATGCAAACACAAGATAGGGCCCAAGAGGGCCCCAAGGGAGCCCCAGTACGGCTCGAGAACCTTCCAAGCGGCCCGAAGAAACTCAAAGACGGCCCCAAGTATCCACCCAGATAGCTTCCAGACCGCTCTGCATAACCATGGCGCCCAAGGTGGCCCCACAACGAGCTTACCAAAGGAATTCTAGGGGCCAGTGCCCCCAAGGCGACCCAACGTTGAGGGACCCAAGAAGCCAATAAGGAGGCTAAGTCTGACTTCATCCTGACATGCCTAAGAAATTGTAAACAAGTACGGCGGATTCACATGTGGAACGCCCAGAGACCAAGCGCTGGATACACATGCCGAGGCCAACCCTGCACGAATTGATCGAGCCGAGCGCTGGCAAGGCATCTGGCCACATGGGCCAGGCCGCGTCATGTGTATTCAGCTTGCTGGCATGTGAGCGAGGAGAGGGAGGAGGACGAGGAAGGAAGCGGAGGGAGGAGAAAGAGGAGGAGGAGGAGGCGGCGAATGGCGGAAGCAAGGCTGAAGACAACGAGGTATGGACGACCCGCGCCAGCCCAGGCAAGGCACCGAACCGGAGCGGCTCCCGACCACCCCCCGCATGCCTTGCTGTGCTGGCACGGTACGGCGGCGGCGTCTGCCGCAGGCAGCCGGATGATCGTGTCGATTGTGGCCATATATGGATATGTTAACGCTGGCGTCGGGTCGGACGAAAGGAGCGAGATGGAAAGCAAGAATTGCGACATCTGCTGCATGCACCTGGTTTCGTCCCCGCCGCCGGCCGCTGACTCCATCCTCTTTACCAGACCCCCCCCCCTTCCTCAACAAGCGCGTTCCACCACTCGCAGAGTAGCTGCTCGCAAATTGCCGGGGCCCGACACGCGGGGGAGCTCCGATCCACCGCACTGTGAGGCAAACAGCTGCTCTCTGCCCGACGCTTTTGCGAGGAGGCACCTCTCTGGCGAGTCGGTGGACCGCGCTCGCTGCTCCTCCGTCCGACCCGATGCGGGCACGCCGCCGGCGCCGTCGCCGTCCTGCCTCGGGTCGGGCGAAAGGGGGGGATAGCAAAGGGGTGGTTTGATATTCAGCTCACGTAGCTGATTTTCCCGGCGCCTCCCGGCGCCGGAGGCGGCCATGTATCGAGAAATGGGCCCCTCGGCGGGGCCGAAACCAGCTGCATGCAGCAAATTTCGTAACCCCCCTTTCCCAATCCCCCCCTTTCGTCCGACCCGACTGCCCCTCCGGGGGCCCACGACCGGCGGCTTCCTGCGCTGCGGCCCCTCCGCCGCCCGGGCCCTCGGCCGCCCGCGCCTCCGCGCCGCCGCTGCGCGCCCCCGCGCGGCCCCCGCCCTCCGAGGCCCGCGCCCGCTTCGCCTCCGGCGCCCCGCAGCCGCCCCGGTGCCCGCCCGCGGCGGCGCCGCCCGCGCCGCACGGGCGCGAGCCGCGCCGCTGCTCGAAGACCCCCTCCGCGCCGCCGCCGCCGCCGCCGCCGGGGCTGGCCGAGGCAGCGCCACGGGAGCCTGCCGGTGGGCGCACCACCGCCGCGGGCTGCGTGGCGCCCGCGCAGGCAGGCGGCTCGCTCGTGCGACCGGGTTGCCTCGTGTCCCGGGCGTCCCGTGCCGCGGCCGCCGAGGCGGCTCCGGCGGCCGCCGGCAGCGGCGGAGGTTGCCACCCTCCCGCTGGCCCGCCCGCCTCGCGGGGCTTGTCGGGCCAGCTGACACGCAGCTTGCGCCCAGCCAGCGTCGCCCCCTCGAGGCGTGCTTCGGCGCGCCCCGTCGACTCCAGGTCGCGAAACTCGCAGAAGGCCGTGGCGGTGTCGCTCTTGAGGAAGAACTGGATCGACGTCGCGGCGCCCGAGGGGGCGAGAAGCTGCTGCAGCCGCCTCTCGAGATCAGGGTCCCTGGGCAGATTCCTGACGAACAGGGCCGCCTTCTTGCCAGCGTGAGGGGCTGGCAGGTGCAGCTCACCTGGAGAGCCTCCATCGGCGCCTGGCCCTGCTCTGGAGCCGACGGCCGTCGGGGGCATGTCGGCGATGACAGAAGAAGAACAATCAGCATTACGCACCGTACGCTTTCGGAGGTCCGCGCGGATTTCTTGGATCGGTGCTGGGACCCCCTGCGTTGCGCGCGCAGCGCGCCAGGGGCGGCGCCAGGGGGGCCGCCAGGTGGTCCAGCTCCGACAAGAGAGCTCCGCGCGCACATCCGAAAAGGCATGCCGCTGCCGAGCTGTCCTCTTCGAGATCAGTTCGTCCAGGCTCGACAACAGCAGGTTGTCCAGATCAGGTCCCTTCTGTGGCGGGGCGTCACAGCCGCCCACGCTGCCCCGGGGGCTCGCCATAAGGGCGCCCAGGGGTCCTCTACACGTGAGAGTGACCCTAGGCAAGAGTGACCTTTGGCGCGCGACGTTCGGGGGCCGCGGGGAGGCTGGACCAGAGCGCACAAGTCGCCACTATCGCCTCTCATTCCACCAGTTGGGGACCCCAGTATGCCTTCGGCGTGGCTTCATGGGGGGGTCACTCATGGGGGGGTCAGACACGCTCCCCCTTTGTGCCTCCTTCGGGCCCCTCCGGAGCCGCGGGGGGCTCGTTCAGGTACCGTTTGGGTACCCATTTACGACCCCATTACGCCGTTTAGGGTACCGTTTAGGTACCTAAACGTTTAGGGTGGGTGGGGGGGGGCGAGGGGACCGTTTAGGTACCCTCGCCACCCCCCCATTTACGACCCCCCCCATTACGACACGCCCAGCGTGCCCGCACCAAAAGGTCACTCCGGCGACAGGCCCCTCTTCTGCATAGGCCCGCTGATGGCTTGGGGGGGCTCGCACGGCGCGGCGCGTCCCCGCGGGGCCGCTGGAGCCGCGGCCGAGAGCGCGGGGGGGGGAGCGGCCGCCGACGGTGCGGCGGCGCTTGGCAGCAGCGCGTGAGCACACGGAGGCCCTGCGCAGAGGAGATGAAGCAGGGCGCCCAGAGAACGGCACACGACGAGGATGAGAAGTACGAGAGCAGGCGCGTCCCCGCTGGACCGCTGGAGCCGAGGCCGAGAGCGCGGGAGGGAGCGGCCGCCGACGGTGCGGCGGCGTTTTGGCAGCAGCGCGAGAGCACACGGAGGCCCTGCGCAGAGGAGATGAAGCAGTGAAGGGGAACTGGGACACACAAATAAATACACACAAATAAAAATATTCCCCATATTTTCACATATTTCCTGGGTTTTGGTCTTCCCCCCCACTTCCCATATTTTCCCATATTTTCTTGGAATCGCCGATTAATTGTGTCTGTGTGTTGTTTCCCCTCCTGAAACAGGGCGCCCAGAAAACTGCACACATGACGAGGACGAGAAGCACGAGAGCGTGCCATAGACTGTGATACTACTATTGTGTCCTCCACGGAGGCGCGCGCCTGGCCCGACCACGTAGCATACCCTTCTTGTAGTACATCGCGTCTGTTCGAGCGGTGTGGCCAGAAAGTGGCCGCCACGACGCATATACTGTAAGATTTCTCGGTGCGCGCGTCGCCCCTGGGGCGGCGAGGCACGCATAGTATTAGTCTGTGGGGATGACGCCCAAAGGACTATGCTGTGAGATCGATAGCCCCTCACGGGGCCCACCAGGCTGCGTTACCCAGGTGTCCAAGCAACTAAGCGATTCAGATACACTCGGCACCGAATTTGAATAACATATGAACTCGCTTCGGCTGCGCATGATGGGAAGACTTCAGGCTCTCGTGATCACAGACATGTCGGTCGAACACAAGCACACACATATGTTCGCTGTTGTTCTGAGCGCGCGCGACTCCCCAGGGTCAAAGCACGGGCAATGTTCCCTCAACTTTTCTGGGTGCCCTGCGGCAGACGAGAATGCATATGTATATCTCCGTCCCGGGACCAGAGTCCCCGTGAAATCGAGAGACCCGCATTCACAAAGCCACGATCGGTTGTAATATATTTATCCCCGCTCTCCCAGATCACCACCCTTCGCAATATGACACGTACCTGACCTCAGACGGTCGCGACTCCCACGAGATGCTAGGGACCCGGGCCCCCTACGGCCACGACACCGTAAAAGGTACGAATCCGCGCCCACGGAAGCCCGAACCATCGGACCAAAGCGTGGGCCAGCGATCCTCGAAACTATGTATAATCCTTGAAGAAATCACAGCCTGGGTATTACGGAAAGCGAGCGCTGCTGTTTGTTGCCAGGCGCTGACATTGTTGTTGCTCGTTGCCGCTTCTGGCTCTTTGCTAAGATTCGGTGCTGCTTGCTGTAGATCGCTCATACGTGGCTCTGTTGACTCAACTTGCTGATGCGTGCTGCAGGTGGAGTATATCATCGCGCCTCTGTGGCCTCTCTTGGGGGCCTCCCGTGCGCTTGTTCTACCCTCTAGGGGCATCGGGCATTATTGGGGTCGTCGAAACTGTCTCGAGGTGTCCTTCTCATGCTGTTTGAAGACTCCAGGGGCCCTCTTGGGCCGTCTTCGCGATCTCGTAGGGGGCCGAATGAATTAGATGTGGGCGGGGACTTCAACGTATTGAAGCCCTTTGGGGGATCTCTTGGGCAATCCAACTGAATTCTGAGAGCTGCCTTGGGGCTCTCTTGAACCGCCATGCACTCCTCTGGAAACACGATTGGGCCGCATCGGAGCCCCATGGAAGCCCTCGCGGGCCAATTCGGGAAGTTCTGGGCCCCCTTCATAAGCCGTGACGCGGCTCTCTAAAGACATAGCAGAGCCACTTGGGGCCGAGCAATCGAAGAAAGCCAACACGTATTGGAGCTGTCCTGGGCGTCTCCTGTGACCCTTCAATAGGTGTTTGGGGCCCTTGGGGCCTCATGATTCGTTTACGGGGGTTCTACGACCGTTTTTGACCCTCCTGGAACACTCTGGGAATCCCATGTTGGGAACAACGGCGCGCGCTGCTGCTTGAGCCGCTTGCTCCTGCCGCTGCTGCTTGTAATTCTCGCCTGCGTGCTGCTGTTTAGCGATGCTCGCTGGTGCGTGCTGCTGCTTGCCGCTGCGTGCTGCTGCAAGCCATTGCGCGCTGGTGCCGCTTGCCGCGTACTCATTTCGTCGCGCACTGTCGGGATCTGTCGTCGGGCCTCTTGTAAACTTCGCCCATCCGTTGGGCAATCTTGGCGCCTTCTGCGCCAGTGCAGGGGCGGGTCGGAGAGGTTTCTTAGAGGCCCTTGAGGGCCATCTATCATTGCACCGGCCTTGCAGACGGGCTGCAGCGGATTTCTGCGTGGATTGTTGCCCGAAGCGGCGAGCGAAAACCGAAGTGAGTTTCGCGTGGATTCTTTTTGGCCTTCATTCCTGGCTAAAACAAATCCGCACGAAATTCACCTCGAAATCTGGAGCGAAACTGTCCAGGACACTCCAGGCCCACCCTAGCGTTTTCCGAACGAAATGCGCACTGCGATGTTGGCGCCATGACATCTAGGAGGCATCTTAGAAGCAATAGGGGACCGCATTGGGACCTTTCGAGATGTGTGATGCGTCTTTGGCCGTTTGCGCGAGCCACCTGCGCGTTTTTTGTGTGCCATGCTGACCCCCTTTCGAACAAGCTGACCTAGCCCCCAACCAATGGAGCGCGTTTCTCTATTGTCGGGCAGAATAAGCATTATAGGGGAAGGGATGGGCCAGGGGGGGGGGGGTATCATGTAACGCCTCCACCCCGCCGTGCGCACGGCGGCAGTGCCCGGAGCGCACAGGAGGGGGCAGTGCCCGGAGCGCACTGGAGGGGGGGAGGGGCGTTACGTTATAGGGAGGGGGAGGGGGGGCAGGGGCTATAGTGCCCATTCTGCCCCAAGCAATAAAGAAACATGATCAAGCTGACCTAGCCCCAAACCAATGGGACGTCGACGATTCTGCATGCCTGGGGTCTCTTTTGGCGCGCCTTGGAGCTCCCCTTCGTGCCTCTCAGCCTGTTGGCCGATGTCGGAGTCTCTTCAAACCCTCACCAAATGGCTGCAACGCTTCACGGAGCCAATCTGAGCTGCCTGAGCGACCACTTGACACTCAAAGATACGATCTTGCTAACACGCTGGAG